CTTTCCCAAGGTCGACAATCGCTTAGATTTCAGATATCACGAGAAGAATAGCAGTACAGAGTAAAATGACTACAGCAAGCACATTCCCTATGTCATGAACTCACAACAGTTAACCTAACAGCTTCTATGGTCTTTCAGCTTACAAACTTGAAACTACAGATGCATTTTCGCGTATCAAACTTCCGTGATACAACAAGGGAACTAATGAACCCGTAAAAATTAACAAAACAATATCTGTTTCTTTTATGATACTATGGGAAAACTAAAGTGAGATAAGGAGATGTTGAAAGTTCCTACACAAGTTCCATCTACTTGAAACAGATACTTGCAAAACAAATAAAAACTCATAACAATCAGGTCCAGCACCAACAAAAGTACCAATTAACCTTCACTTTACGGAATCTGGTAAACACACAGTTTCAGCTCAAAGGATTACCTCTACTAGATTGCCTATTCGCAATATCATAGCCCACCACAAAATCGTCAGAGTCTTTCCCACCAACATCCTCCGAGCCCCCGACAAGACCATAACGAAACGAGCCAGAATTATCAAGCTCGGCAGACGTGTTCTGCCATGTGGTGTCCCCATACACAGATCCACTCCGGTAAAAGTCCCCATATGACCCCTCATAAACCCCACTCGACCCAGCAAATGAAGACGCCCGACCGGGCGCAGTATTCCTCTGGAACCCTCCCATTCCCAGCTGGCCATAGCTGTTCTCTCCCCCTCTGTTCCCAAAACTGCCCCCACCGTACCCAGACGAGCCGCCTCCTACAGAGGGCGCAATAGGGGAAGTCCCCCAATTGGTCCCATTACTTCCAAACACTCCAAACCCACTGCTTACTGAACCAAAGTACGATGCAGACCCCACACTGTTCCCCGAGCCACTATTAATCCCACTGCCACCATTTCCCCACACGTTTCTGGAAGGTGAGCTGAGAAAAGAGTCCCCACGGCTGCCACTTGTATTGTACCCTATGGGCGTGTTGTACCTTCCCTGGTTGCTCCCGTAATAGGGGCTCAGGACACGGCTGTAACTTAGGTTTCCGCTAAATCCAGACCCACCCCCAAAGCTCCCGCCCAGGCCCTGCTCGACATTCACGGGAGAACTGAAATGTGAGAAATTAGTCCGACTAGCCAACGGACTATACCTTCCGTCCATTCTAACACCATAACCCCCAATCGAGCCCATATTGTATCCATGAGAGTAGTTGCCGAGGAAGGCGCCTGCACGGCCGAAGCCGTAGTTATAGCCGGTGAGCGGGCTCCGCGTGGGGACTGGGGAAAGTTCCTTGGGGACAGCACGCTTCACCTCGACCGTTTTCCCGTTGAGCTCATGGAAGGTCTTGTGGAGGACGTTGTCAACAGCATCCTCCGAGTCATAAGTGATGAAACCGAACCCTCTCGGACGCTGGGTGTTGTGGTCATACATGACCACGACGTCTGTTATGATACCAAACTGGTCAAAGTAGCCCTTGAAGTCAGCCTCAGTCACCGTGGACGCTAGTCCACCCACAAATATCTTTTTGGTCCGGCCGGGCCCTGGAGATCCTTGAGTGCTGCCGCTGTTTCTGTTGATCAGGTGGTGGTCATCCCTAGGGACAGCCTTCTTTGCTTCCACCTGAAAGATCATTAATAATAATAACAATGGTGATAATAGAAGATCATAGAAGATCATATGAAAGCAACTTACAGTTCTACCGTCGATCATGTGCTTCTCCTTGACCACTCGCTCTGCATCAGTAGGATTGGCAAAGACAACAAAGCCAAAGCCACGAGCACGGCCAGTGGTCCGGTCCCGCATGATCACTGCTTCAACTACTTCACCATATGCCCCGAAATATTCTTTGAGGCGATCCTCATTTGTGTCCCAAGAAATACCACCAATAAAGAGCTTTCCCTGATCCATCTCCATATTTCCTGCAATTAAGAGGGACAACCTTAAACTTCAACAATCTTCCACTGCAAACAGATGGACATAACTCAATCTCTCTCATACAATATGATCCAACTGAGGCCAAAAATCGGGTAAAATACGCGAATCACGCAGACTGGAGATGGCAGTTAATTCGAGCAAGGTGGTAATCGATCACAATACGAATCTAATAGATCCAAGCATAAACAAGGAGCCAACCAAAACCGAAAGATATTATACCCCATCAAGAAAATCAAGCTATAACTCCCAAGCAGCAATCACTGATCAAACATTAAAGTGCGAAAAAAATGCAGGATTTAATGCACAAGATCAGTGGATCCTTCATTAATCAAACAAACAAAGAACATAATTTTAGTACCTTATCAAGAAAATCAGGCAGGAACCAAGGAAGCAGCCGCCACTGATCAAATATTAAAGTGGGAAACGCAGGATTTAATGTAAATTCATCGGAT